TGTAGCTGTCTGTGGCTGTCTGTGGTTGTATGTGTGCTGTCTGTGCAGCTGTCTGTGGTTGTTTGTGGCTGTCTGTGGGTGTCTGTGTGCTGTCTGTGGGTGTCTGTGGGTGTCTGTGGGTGTCTTCATGTTTTACTATTACCCTTTAAGATGTACCTGTTTTCTACATATTCTACTTAGTAAATATGACAAAAATACAAAGAACTGCTGTAGGGAAAAAAATGCAAAAATACGCTACGGAACTATGCTGCGGTAGCAGATTTACGTGGATGCTTCGACAATGTCGCTAATGGCACTCCAGTGGAACTTCCTGAGTCAAGATCTTGGTAAGAAAACGTAAGAATTTAAAGATATTTCAAGAACCGAAGATCTTTGACTTCTTGTATCTAAGATCTTGGAAAGTCTTGAATCATCGTCTTGTTTTACACTCTTGTGTAAATATAAGTGCGAATATTTTAACACTTAGAATAACTTCGAAGTTTTTCCTTTTCAACATAGTTGTTTAAGAAAGAGCCATCAGATATACGACCATACAGAATCCCAGGCTATGACTTTCATAAATGAAAACAAAATGTAAAAAATTTTCCCTTAAATGTGTGTGATTTGCACAAGACTGTAAAACAAAACGATGATTCAAGAATTTTCAAGAAGTTCCAATAGGGCATGTATAACCAACAACGCCAGCAACAAATCAAAAGTTTTACAATACACATATAAGTAAGAAACAACACAGAACTAACCAAACTTATTTCCTACATCTCTAGAGCGTTTTCAAACAGCTCCTAAAAAGATTCTTTTTTGAAGTCCAGATTTTATGACTTTCTTTAACAGTTAATATAACTCTGTTTCTGTTTTCTTTCAAATTAGTAACTTCAAATTTAACTTTTGTTTTAATAGACTACGTCAAAAGAATCTCGATGTAGCTGTCCTATTTCTTGTGGTTTTTGCTAGTACTTTTGTTATTACTGATGTTTCTTGTTACCTATGCTGCACTCTGTGGGAACACTCGAGAGATCAGAAAAAAATTAGCCATAATAAAAAAGATTAGCCAGTCTCTACAGAAGAAAGTTTATTAGCATAAAATTACTTAGTGATGGAGCGAAACATAACAAAGAGCGATGTGTAATGAATCCACCCTTATGCATGTATGGTAAAAGTCAGTTTTTTATCATTTGATTAAGAAAAAGATTTTCGATATCGTTCGCATTCTTCTGATAGGTATGTACAGTCAACTAAATCCGATATATTGACACAAAAGTTGAATTCATCCAATACGCAATGATCTATTTATGTTTCTTAGTTTCTCTTCTCAAAATTTCTTGTTTGCATGAATAACTTCTCGTTCATCTCATTTTTTTCCTATATGTATGTATATATGGTGCAAAATTAAAAGTTCAGTAAGAAATAGCTAAACAATTTGTTAAAATCAAACAGTGCAGATGCCAATCAATTAAATCCAGAAATATCGCAAAAGATATAGTTTCAGTTCGAATATATGAACAATTTTTTGGCAACGGCAGGGCGACTGACATGAAGTTTGAAATGCTGCCTAAGGTGCCGAAAAATCGAAATTTGAATCAAGTATCGAAGCAGAATCAAGTGATAAATAGAAACGAAAATCATTGAAACGTATCCAATATTCGTAGAACTTCCTACTTTTGTCGTAATCGTTCTTATCTAGATGAATGCGGATGCGATGACCAGTCATATTACATTGATTGAAACGATGCTCACGGGAATTATTTCAGATCCACACGTAATCAGTGTAAAAACTTAGATAAAGTGAGGTGAGGTGTATTTATGTAAAGTTCTATATTAAGATAGTTATTCATTGTATCATCTTTTATGTGAACATCGCGTATATATATCTATACATGAACGTCCACTCCGATTGAGAAGACGTATCGGCCAATCACAGACTAACCTGAGTCGATGATGTCCATATGACTAACAGATACATCTGTATAGCTAAATACGCATTGTGAAGTAGCCCAAACAATAGGGGAGCTAAATATTAATATGAGAGTTGTTTATCTGTATTTTTATCAGTTAGTTCACTATGGGTATCATGTTGCTAACCGACGCTCATAAATAATGGCACGATTATCTTTATTTCATTACAAACATCCTTATCTAACTAACATTTTTAATGATGGACATCCCGTGGGAGCGTGTGCTCCCTCCTAGACCTGTACCAGTTACAAACGAAGTGTGCTTTAAAAAACATTGTTGTTTTCGACATGACTAATTACAAGAATTTTTCGACGATACACACAGATTTATAGCGCAGAATCTGCTCTACAAAACAGTATGTATATTCGAAAACTTTAGTTACATTTCGATCAAAAAATATGATCATTTTATACAAAAAAAAACGACTAGTTATTAACTGAACAGTTAACCGCAGTTAACTGTTCAATGAAATAATCATGTTTTTTGATTGAAAGGTAACTAACATTTCATTTTTCTTCGTTATTAACTGGTACCGGTCTACTTCTTTATATTTGCCAAAGTTAAATTTCTTTTCAAAAGATTCAGCATTTAATTCTCTACGAGAATCGGTGAAAATTTTGTATAAAAACGATAGGAGAGTACAGAAAAGGTTTAGCGTAATAACGACTTGTTACTCGAACGAGTGAGTTTAAGAAATGTTTCAACTACGAGTTTTCTAAAACCATCCATATATCAAAATACACATTAGCTTGATTCATGCATTTACCTTACTTGTGCGAATTCCATTCATATTATTTAATCGTGGACTCCATGCACTACTATTATTCGTATTGTTATTCGAATTTCTTAAATAATATTTCTTTTTCTTCTTTTTCTGCAATCTTCTATCGTTACATTTTTTACACAAACTTTTCACAGATTCCTATGAAGAAGTAAATGCTGAATCTTCTGAAAAACGAGTTGGAGAAAACCGAGAAAAATGATAGATACTGGAAAGCTCATTTCCTTTGCGCCACCCATGATATTTCCAATAGTTTGAGATAAAATGAGGGCAAAAGTATTGAATGAGATCGGTGATCTAGCAGTTAGACAAAACGCACGACGATTTTCGAAGCGGACTCAGTTGGCATTTTTATCCGATGAGCAAATTGGTGGAAGTTGGTTTTTTCGTTTATTCACATTTATACGTTATTATCTTTTTACGTTTGTCCATGCATTTGAAAGTGAGTATAAAATTATTGAGATTAAGCCTAAACTGTATATTTATGGTTTGTTTAGTTGTCGGTCAAGAAAAATTAGAACAGGACACAGGTGTGCTTATGAGATCATATTCATTTATGACACAACCACGTATGATTTTAGTTTTCAAGAAAAAGTTTTTATCTTGAATTTGCGTCATTTTTTGAATAGTGTATGATTAGTCGTCATACGACGCATTGTGCTGATGTATTACCCCTACTTATTTCGGGATATCATATCACTGGTAGAGTGACACGGTAAGTGCATTATTGAGAAAACTTGTGATAGTTGATACATTCTCTCTTGTTTAGAGGATTAATGCATCGATTAATATTGCGTTATTTTCCATTACTTCGATGGTTAGGCTCAGTACCAGGAGAACGAGAATCGGCAGAAGCACTGCTTGAAGCGGGCTTTTTATGTGGAGTCATTCCAGGCGGTGGAGATGAAGGAATGGTTGGTCATGAAAATGCGTACGTAGTGAGATGGCCGAAAAAAAGTAAGTTTTCTCATACTGTTGCGTGCTCAATAATTAAACGATGATTGCGTTTTGGTATTTAGGAAAAGGATTCGCTCACATTGCAATGAAAGCCCACGCACCGATAATACCTTGTTTCCTCCAAAATCAAGAAGAAATGAGATTTAATCCTTTGTTTGCTCTAGCAAACTTACTCCGAATCGGACATTTTTACTCATATATTATGTTGTTTGATATTCCGTATATAAAACCTTTACTGTATCGTCTTGGCATGGGCATTTGGTTTAGTTGTACGTGGTTTCAGCTTCCCATACCTGTTAAATTAACGCTACATATTGGAGATCCTGTCGAGTACGGAGAAAATGATACAATAGACGATGTAATTAATTATTTCATTTTTATCTGTTCTTTTATAACTTACCTGCATTTTTTATGTAGGTTGTTCAGCGAAGTCGTAACGCACTGCAAGCTCTAATTAACAAACATCAGCCGCACGGTAAATCTTATTTGAGAGCAATCAAACAACGTATTGACGTGAGCACTAATTATTGGCGAACTGTACTGTCAACTAGGCGCAAGAATTTCTAGACTAGACATACAACCAACGCAATATATTGTTTTTCCTATTCTGTTATTATAAAGTCGCTTTTTCTCTGATAGATGTGTGTTAAAGTGAACAATGATTTCTACTGCAATACTTTTTTTAATCTGTGATTTTTTTTTCTAGAATGGTACTACTTTTCACAACTTGAAAGAATCGCTTTTCTTTTTACACATATCATTTGATAGTGGAATAGGCATTATTTAACAACTGAAATTATGACGATTTCTCAAACAAACGTTTGAAAGATTACTAAAAGAACTCACCTGAGATTAACAATGAGGCAATGTGATGACAAATTTAGTATTTCTAGAAAATCCTCGTTATTTCTTTTAGCATGGAAAAGATGTCAGTTTTCTAATGGCGATTGCTGTAGATACTCTGGTTGATTTGAAAATTCAAAGAGAATCAAGACAGAATTTTAAATATTGTTGAATGAAACAATTTTAAAAGTTAGTAGAATCGACAACGAAAAGCGCACGTATACAAGTTTCTGGTGTAAAACAATAAAAAATGAGTTAAATCCTCAAACAGGTTTAAGGCTTAAGTTGACGAAAACACATGTAGTTAGAGGCTACTAGAGCCGGATCTTTTATATTTTACTTTTCAAACTAATGGTCAGCATCAAAAGTCAAAAATTCGAAAAACTCCCATTAACTTTCATAAAAATATTTCCCTAACCACAAATCTAGATCAAAATTTGTGCTCTATTAGCCTCTAACCACCTGTATCAGCTTCAATTTAAGACCTTCCCGAGCACTCTGCGATGTTTCGTTACCGAGAAATCTTGCAGCTACGAAATAGTGTTAAGGTGAAAGTCGCTTTCGAGATATGGTGGCGCTAGCATCTGATAGATGTTTTGCGGCTTCCAGCGAAACTCTCATAACTCTTGATTAGAACATCACCAAAAATTCTTATGTTATTCTGATTTACTAGAAGGCAACTTATGAGTTGGTTTTGCTGGTTTCTGTTATGATTAAGCTGCTTCTATTGGCTGGAAAACTTCATAAGAATTTTTGGTACTTCTTATGAATTTCTTACAAACCATTTATGGAAATGTTATAAGATTCTTATAAGACATTCATGACTGTCGATGGGAAGTCTTAAACAATCTTATATAACAAACTGATAAGATTGCGATAAGAATCTTGTAAGACACTGGTAAGAGACTTTCGTTAGACGTTTCTCGTAAGATTCTTATATAAGAATCGATGTCTAGAGAAAACTTCAAAATAATGTTCCATCTGTTTGCTTTTTTATGATATACTCATGTTGAACATTTTCTTATATTGTTTCGTCAACATATTTTGGGCTTCTTCGTCTGGTGAAAAGATCTTGGCTGGAATGACCACAGTCACTTCCATCCAGCACTAAATTTTGTCTATATTGTTGATAAATATCAACAGATATCAATCGATTTATCATTGTCATCAGCGTACGTTTTGAGAAATATTTGTAAACGTAGAATTGTCTCAACTGACTCAAGTTCAATCGATTCTGGAACATCAACACATTGATAACTTATCAATATGTTGATGTTCCAGAATCGATTCAGACCGATACCAAGCTGTAGGAGATAGCGAATGTTTTCGATGTGCCTAATTTCTACAGCGTTAACCGGGTTGATACTACGATCAGAGACTTTTGATTTATCCCATAGTTTCTGACACAGCTATCAACAATTCCGAACCTCCTCGTCGTAAATTTTGTATTTTTTTGTAAATTCGGAAGCTCGGAACTCTTGATACCTGCAGAAATCAGACACACCGAAAACATTCGCTACAGCTTAGGATCTGATCGGTCCGAATCGATTCTGAAACATTAACAGATTGTTACAATAAAATCATTTCAGGTTGTGGTTAATTCTCGAAGGATACATTCTATACTAGAGCGAAAGGATAGATATTCTTTTGTTATACTGTTTTTCTCAAGTTAGCTGGTACTCTGTAAAAAAACGTTTGTGCACGAAATCTAAAAGGATATAGACAAGTGCAACCATTTCTAAACCTTTTTAGGTTTCGTAGGAGAAAAGATACGGTACGAAGCCATTTAAGTGCATAAATTCTATCAGGTTTTCTACACAAACCTTTTTTTTCTACAGAGTAGTACATAACAGGCAAAGCACGTAACAATTCATTGTATTTCTTTCATCTTAGCAGCAGATGAGAGAGATAAAGACAATTCTACGTTTACAAATATTTCTCAAAACGTACGCTGATGACAATGATAAATCAATTGATATCTGTTGATATTTATCAACAATATCGACAAAATTTAGTGCTGGGTGGAAGTGACTGTGGTCATTCCAGTCAAGATCTTTTCACCAGACGAAGAAGCCCAAAATATGTTGACGAAACAATATAAGAAAATGTTCAGCATGAGTATACCATAAAAAAGCAAACAGATGGAACGAAAACGTAACATTACGTACTGGATGAGAGGACAACATCGTATAACAACATCGAAAAAACTGACTAGTCTTAAGACAATGATTAATACGAAGAAACGTTTATGTATAATAATTAAAGCTTTTGTTACTGTATTCATGAATTCATCGCATACATCTAACCAGGAAATATACACTTTTTTAAAGCAATCATTAAACTCGCAGTCATGTTTTGTCACGGTTATGAACAAGAGTATGGCGAGGCACTTTGATTACGTTCACATTAGCTGACGGTTTTGTAGCAATTTCTGGACCGTCATTAGTCTCAGATACTTGCGCAGAATCGTTTGTATCGGTTTTGACATGCACCACAGTTACAGGTCTTTTGATAGGCGATATTATACCAAGATTTTCTGTATTTGTCATAATATCTGGATTGTCACTGCAAGATTTATTAGCTGACAGTTTTGTAGCAATTTCTGAACCGTCAATAGTCTCAAATACTTGCGCAGAATCGTTTGTATCTGTTTTGACATGCACCACAGTTACAGGTCTTTTGATAGGCGATATTATACCAAGATTTTCTGTATTTGTCATAATATCTGGATTGTCACTGCAAGATTTACTAGCTGACAGTTTTGTAGCAATTTCTGAACCGTCAATAGTCTCAACTACTTGCGCAGAATGGTTTCTGCCTGTTTTGACACGCACCACAGTTACAGGTCTTTTGATAGGCGATATTATACCAAGATTTCCTGTATTTATCATAATATCTGGATTGTCACTGCAAGATTTTGATCGTCGACGTTGTGCTCGGTAAGAAAACTCACTGCGTTGATTGTTAGTTCCAAGTTTTGATGTTTTAACACGAGAAACGATAACACTTTTATTTGTTGTTGTAGTTAACCGTTTTTCAACATAATCATCTGCAACATCATTCGTTTCCTCTGATAGTTCATCAATTACTTTACAGGATTTTAAGCGAATAACCTTGATAGCAGTAGGTGTGCCGGGTAACTTTGCGTCACCCGTAACCGTTGCTGAGCGTTGTTTATACACCATCGGTTTTGCTGAATGTGCCGCAGATCTAGGATTTACTTTTTTAAGAGATAGGCTTTCCTCTCGGTTGAACGTGTCATCCTCATTTATCGTATTTTCGATAGTAGCACTTGCCACAGTAGACGTCTTCTGTTTGTCAGATTTTGCTGTTTGAGTTCTCGTCACTTTTACCATTTGATTTACAGATTTTTCACGTGTTATACTAAGATTTGTAGGAGGAAATCTGTCTATGATCGTCGATTCGATATCATTATCTGCATTATAAACGATATAGGCCTTTGTCGGTTTCGTGAATACTCGACTGACTCGTCGGGCGTTACGGCTAAGTTTTGTCATAAAGACATGACTTATTCGTTGTTTTGTTTGTGTTGGATCTGTCTTAGTTGGTTGTGTTGCCGAGTCATGATTCTTTTTTACAGGTCCTTCAGCATTTGACTGAAAGGCAATTTCGGACGAGACTCCATGAGGACTTTCATGTGATATGTCGCTTTCTATGTAACTTGTTTCTTCTTCTGTAGTTTTTTCTAAATGTTTTTTTCTCCAGTATTTGTTGCTGAAAAGAATAAGGTACTTAACTTCGGAGAACTTTGCAAAGAATCATTCGCATATACTTACCACAATAAATGGTAACAAATGAAACATGTTGCCAACATCAATAGGAGTCCACCTAAACTCAGGCCGATTGCCAAGGGTAACCAGTTGAAACTACCGCTTACTACAAAAATCGTGTTATATGATATATTTTAAGTGGATAATTGTGTTACTAACCTAATGTGCTCATCGCTGATACCGTTGTATTTTGAATAATCGTCGTTTCGGGGCATAATGTTGCACTTGTTAATGAGACGATGAATGTGATGCAGTATTGAATTGATTGTTGAAATTCACTGTTAAGACATAGAAACAGTTGTTGATCACACTATCTTTAGGATACTGTAAAGTATGTGAGAAACATACCTATCTGTGGCTGCAGTACAAAATATTTGCGTGCCAACTTGGTTTATTGCCGGTGTCCATGTCAGATTAATCGAATACGTGTTTGATTGCAACGAATTTTTATAAACATCCGATTTCAACATACCTGTGGGTGACGTAGAGACAAAGTCTGTAATATTATTAAAATTACATCCCACTTGTGCCGATAATGTTTGACTATATGGCACCATTGCTTGGACATCTACACAGCTTTGCGTGGAAACAATCGTTGGTAGTATAGAACAGTTACCAGATTGATAAACATAAATTAAAAATTGTAGAGGAATGGAAGAAAGAGCAGTAGTGCTGTTCATTGTATAAAAATCTTCTAACATTAATGCTACGACATAGTAAGTGCTGGGTATTAAACCAATAAATTGTAGAGTACACGTGTCAGCAAACAATGTAGAATTGGGTACTTCAGAACACACTGATGCACATTCGTCGACAGGGGATGAGTTAGCCCAACGACAACGTAAAAAGTCATTATCTGCGTCCCAGACAGACAGTGCAATATTTCTTGTAACATTCAACGGAATGTTCATCACAGATAGCGCAGCCACTGTTGGCGGATGGTTAATATGTCCATCTGGTCGAAGTTGTACATTAATGTACGTTGTAATGCTCCATGAACCACCACCAACTCCAGCGAACCATGCGCTTCCTGAAAATGCTGCATAGAAGTAGGATCCAATTGCCAGAGTGACAGAATCCGAACGTTTTCCAGAAGACACGTCACCTACACCACTAAAATCTGTGCAATATGTAGCAGCGGTGAGACTTGCAAATCCGCTTGAGGTGGAACAAGAGCTAATACACGATAATAGTCCACTTCCAATTAAAGTTTGTGAAGCTATTATTGTATTGTCGCACGGAACCGCACTTTTCTTCCATGAATATGTCTGATATATGTTAATCGTAACAGTAGCATTAGTACTGTTAACGATAGACCAAGTAATGATACCACCACGAAAATGTGACGCATTCACTAAGTGCCACACAAGGTGAATATAAGTAAAACATTTGACGAGAAGATACATGGTGTGAGACTATTACAGTAGAACAAACTTAAGATAGAATTTTATGAAATAATCTGACACCGTTCATTGTTCATATTTTATGAATTATTATTGTTACTATATTGAAAAAATTGAATTTACTTTTATGCTTTCAATACTTTACATATGTAATCAATAATATTGTTACTTTACATATGATTCTGAATGTACGCAGATAAACTCGATGAGACTCTTATTCTCCTATAATATAAACTTCAGTTGTAATTATGTTTTTTTCAAGATATCTTGCCTTCGTACGGCGCTGTGTCAAGAATTAGGTGTTTTAATTTTGTAGTCGTCTCCAGAAGCTCCATTTTTCGATGAGATCGATGTAGATCTGTGCGCCAGTCGGAAAATCGGCGGCGACCTGTAACAAAAGTTTTCCGACCTGCAGCGGCGGCGACGGAGGCTAAAAGCTTATTTAAAACTTTGGATCGTCAGCGGGGGGTGCAATCAAATTTGAATACGAAACTTAGTTTAAGCCAAGATCTATTGTCAACTTCATCAGATTTTTTATTTTATTTTCAATCAAAATAATGAGGCTAAAACAAGTTTGTACGGCTAGGACCTCCAAAAACTTCAGTGGTGACGCCGAAAATCAAACCAGAATTATCGGTGGCGTCGAGAAACTCCAGAAAAGTTCGACGCCTTTGGCGGCGGTGGGCCCAAAAATCTTAGCTATCCATCGGCGGCGCGGCGCACAAAAACTAGATCGATGCTTGTTTAATATCGCAAAAAAACGGTTTGGTTCTGACGGCCTGTTCAGATCTCATATGAAAGAGAAATATTTGCTCTACAAAATCACTGCAGAAAGGTGCAGTGAAAGTCAGCACCATGGGCGGCCACAAGGCATAAACTGGAAAAACCGTTTTTTTTCAGTATTTTGGATCTAGAAATCGCTCGTCCAGCTTCACTAAAAGCAAATTCGATGATAAGCTCTTTTTCCTGTCGTCCATTTGCTTAACATTGTTTAATGACACCAGTTTATTAGAATAAATGAAAGTTTATAAGCGATGAAAACGAACTAGAATATAATTATCACAGAAGCAGTTTTGAACCAAACACATGCATTGGTTTTTGAGTGTTGTCAGGGAGCAATTAAAAACAGGTAACATATTTTGTTGATTTTTCTCATTAATTATTAAAGATTTCTTGTGATTTTTTCTAATACTTTTCTTACTATATTTCAGCAACCATTTTCTTCCTTCCGACAACGGGCAACAATTATAAGCTGAAAATAAGTGCGCGTGTTCTTGTCTAAGTGACAAAAGAGCTTTATATAAACTACGTTCAAAATTAACTCCAGCGAGTACATCTAAATATTCTGTTTGATCGACAACATCACTTTTACCATATCTTTCTTCAATATTATATTTATAATTGGATAAGATGCATTTGACATGTTCTTTATTTAATACTTGTGTACAACACGAACAAGTACCATTTTGATAATCATGAAATTCAATCGACTGTCCTGATGTATCAATTTGTGCCGATATACATGGATAATTTTGTTTTATTAAATCAATAATTAATTTTCTGTCTTGCTCATTAAATAATGAATTATTCAAATTACTTATTGAAATAATTTTATGTCCATTCTCATTTGAGTCAATATTTTGATGATAACAGAGTCCAATTCCGTCTTGACAAAACGCTTGACCAAATAGTGCTGATATTATCTTAGCTATTTGTTCATTTCCCTCTATTTTAATGTACATATTTGGTTCAAAGCCCCATTTTTGAGTATAAGAATAGCCTGATTTTAAAACGATTTCATGTTTAATAGATAATTTAGTCAGTGCTTGGATTTGAGAACGATTATTTGTAATAATACGTTGAACGAGAATGTCATGTAACATTTTACTTTGTTCATACGACATTCCTGCTTGACTACCGGGAACAGATGCAACTTGAATCAAAAATAATTTATCATTACATTCTTTTCCCTCTTTTTCACAATTTCTTCGCGTCGAATAATCTTCCGCCATGGAAAGTAAGTGTTGATCCTGAAACAAAAAAAACAAAAAATACTAATAGCGAACCGGCATATTGCAGCATAGTGATGGACCGTAACAGATTCGAATATGGCTTAACAAGAGACGTTGTATAACGAAACGAAAGGAAGAAAACGGAAAACGTACAATTAGTTACGCATTGTTTTTCTCCTTCCTTGACGGATATTCGAATATTACGTGTTTTTCTTTTCTTTCTTTACTTTGAAAAAGATAGTCATCCTTGCTTCACGTGAAGGGCGATACATCACGGTTTACGTTACCGCTGTAATAACGTTAGTGTTAATGTTAAGAAGAGATTTTTTGTTAAACAAATCTATACAGACGAAAAAGATGCTGGAGTGGTATCCAAGCAGTCGTTATTGAAGAACAATTCTATTAGGCAAGCGTTGAGGATAATATCTTTGATAATGTTTCATATGATAGGATGGCAAGTTCAAACTATGAACTAACAAATTCGCAAAGGAAAGAGCCGGATAGTTTCGAGCAGGAAAGTGAAAATTTTCCTCGATATTTTAGATGTAAGGCGTCATTTTTTTTAGTTCTTGTTGGACGTCAAATTTTTCATTCTTTACACAGATCATGAATAACGTAAGGAAGATGCTTTTTGCGTCTTACGACTTATCACTAATATTGCATGATAAAACTATAACTGTGGTACTGAGACCGATTACACGAAATCTCAGACTTTAAGCGTCTTCAAGAGCGCTCTTTCCACTAGGCGTGTGAGAGAAATTATCACTTCAAAGAAGAAAATCCTACTCTCACTACATCTAAATTGTGTTGGTATGCGTAGCGAAAAGAGCGCTTTTTGAAAACTCTGAAAATCTAAGATTTGGTTCCCTCAGTTCGTGGAATCATTGAGAAAGTTATAGTAACTACCACGTTATAGTATACCACGCATCTATTGACTGATTTACCCAAAGGCTTTTTTTCATACTCAATTTTCTTTGAAGAATTTGTGCAGTGGAAATATATACCATCAATGTCTTCAGAGATATACAGAGGCGTCAAAATCGAATTTCTGCGTTCTTTAAATGCCTTGAAATGGATTTCGAAAGCGCATCATTAATCTGATTTGAGGTTTGAAGTGGCTATTATTATACGTAGTGGTGTAGCCAGGATTTTGTTAGTGCGTGGGCGTTACTCCAAATTTTTTCATAGTGGTAGACATTAGTGCAGAGTAGTGTGAATTATAAAACTTTCAGTGGGTAGGCTCAGCCCACTAATTGGTTTTGCGGTGGCCACGCCACTTAATAAATACCTTCACAAAACCCTAAAAGTAGGGATGTTCGGTTCTTGGTTCTTGTGAAGAACGGGAACCGTAGTTTCTTAGACGGTTCCTTTTTTGGAATCGAGACTTTTTGACTTGCCTTTCTTTTAACAAAATGAAAACACACTATTGACAAAGCCACAAAAAGATATATTTGCCTGTCATCATGTAAAAGAATCCTTTCGTTTACTATAAAATGAATTCTGTTTCGTTGATTTTCTACTGGCAGAAACATTATTTTCCGGTTCTAAGCTGAGAATCGAAAATCGTGGTTCTGTTCTAAGTTCGGAACCAAGAACCGAACTTCCCTACTTAGAGGTACAATCTGTTATAAAAGACAATTTTAATTAGTAATACATTCGAAGTATTAGATATATTTGAAGAACTAAAATTCGTCAAATATATGTAATTGTTTTGAAGGCCTTCAAATAAATTCAGATTGAGAAGACTTAGAAGAGTTTTAATTTTTCGAAGATTGAATGTGTTGAAGTGTATTAGACCACATTAAAACTTCGCTGTATTCGAAGACATTCTGATTCTTTAAAGATTTAACATCCTCGAGTGTATTAGATGACATAAAAAATTCCAGTATCGTTCAAGAACTAGAATCGTAACATAGTCAGTTCGAATGAAAACTATTAATAAACATCTTATAACCGATTCGATTTTTGCACGTCTTCGAAGGCATTTGATAAAGCGATGACTTATTACCGTTTAAGTACATTTTAATGTATTTAATGTATATTGAAAAATCACAAATTTAATGCATTTACAGATCGTCAAAATTGAAATGTGGTCAAAAATATTGATAATTCTAATATCTTTGAAGAGATCGACTTCAAATATATTGTGAATCAGAATATCTTTGAAGGCATTAAAAAGGCATATAAAAATGTCTTCAAAAAATTTTCTTCGAAGTGCTTTAGATTTCTAATTTTTGAAATATTTTGAAAAACCTATTGTGCTGGAAGACTATTAATTTTTCGATACATTTGAAGGCATTTAAGACATGCAGGAATTCGATTTGGACACCTCTAAGTGTCTCTGAAGACGATTTAAAAATTTTTTGAAGAAAATTCGAATATATTAAGAAAATCACTGAATACAATTAACTCGTGTACAGGCCAGATATTAAAAAATTAGCAAATATTCGCCGTAAATAATCCAAGAGAGATAATAGTGTTGTTAACGTCTCAATCGATGTAGCACGTAGTATAAATAGTGAATGTTGTACGTACTGTGTTATGCATTACATTGGATATGATATATTTGTTGATTGTGCATGTTTTTGCTCATAAAACATAACACGGGTGCACGTATTGAGCAGCAGACTCAGCGTGGGTCCATCGCGTGATAAAGTCATAAAGGAGAATGCACTTGTAAAAACATATGTTCCCATTATCATTTTCTTTTCCTTAGAAGAAAAAGTAAGAAAACATATAGGAAGAATGACAAAAAGAAGCGGCGAAAATACAATAGAATCGAAAGTATTCTATATAAAATATCTTTCTTTTGATACTGTGTGTAAATAAATTATCCACCCACCGACTTTGACTTCAAATCAAATGAATGCAAAACAAAGTTCAAAGAAAGTCGAATTTAAAATAAACCATCAAAAAACAATCATTTTGGAACAACTTGTGAATGAGATTTGTGATTTGTCGGTCAGAAACATACACTAAAAATGATTTGAATGAATCAACAAGAAAAACTAGCAGTGTTATGTACGGGGTAACTATTTGACTGTAAGAATACACGTTAGAGATCAAGAAGAGTTGAGGTTCGGATACCCAAGAATTCGCGATATTATACCAAGAGATATATGTGAAAATCATTTTTTAAGACTAACCATTAATGAAAGTTCATCACAAAAATGAAAAATGACGGTGTTTAACAAATATGAATTGCATCATTATTGCCGGGAATATTGAGCAGTATTCTCGAAATCCTCCATTTATCAGGTACTCTAGAGAATATTTGCCCAAGTTGCCAATATTTGGTTTTATTGCCATGAAGTATTTCCACTTTTACAAAGCATATAACAAGTAAAAGTTCTCGTGAAAGAAGCGAAATTTCTAGAAAAATTTGTATTTAATTAAACCATGTACACACATTGTTGTGCAGAAAGAACCATCGAGGTTTATTGTATTATTTTAATATTTTTTTTAAATAAAGAAATGAAAACAAGGTGCTATTGTATTAGTTTAATTATATAGTAATAAACATTTGACTATCTTTTGTCGCATTTTTTTCAAAAACAAACAAAAAGGTACTTTTATTATTAGATACATTATGTATGTAAGAATGCCCTTTTATGGTATTAGGATAACCATAAAGATGCATTCTTAATAACAGCGTTTTCGATAGAAGTTTTGGTATCGGTGATTGGGGGGAAGAGAGTCTGCTGAGTAATTAAATTTTTTCTTAAATAACGTATTTTTTGAGTAAAATTTTTTCTGAGTAATTGCATGTTTCAGGCTAATTGGCAATCTTCAATTATCTGAAGAAACTTACTCAGGTGCAAAAGAGCTAGTTTCTCAACTTAAATTTCTTAAAAAATTTCTGAGTAAGTCAACATTTTTTGAGTAACTTTATCCGAATGAGGGGATGGATTTCCATCCTCTTCTCTAATCGATAACGCTGCTTAATAACGTGGATCGAATCATCTTGATAATTTTATTTTTAATAAGTCGATAAGTGTAATATCACTCTACTCGGAAATTAATTTGGCTTCAGGTAGAATAGGAGAAGAAGGATAGTTTTAGAAATATGGAAGCTTTACAATATCTTGATAAAAGCGGTATTTATAGTTTCGGAAAAACACAAAACGCGAATGTTACAAAAAATATTTGAAATGAGTAACATCATTATACAAATATTGTTTGTTGTAATATAATTCAGTAAAGATAATAATAATCATATACAGACAATAATCATTGATTTTTTATTTAAAAAACCGAAGCTTTCGATTATGATCTGTAATCATTATCAGATTTAGTTTACAATAAAAAAACACGACTACTTTTTTGCTGTTTTCTTTTCACTATTCACTCACTTTTTAATCGCTTTCGTTTTGTTCTTATGAACATATGTTGAACACTGCAAGAGCAGAAACCGAAGAATATCGAAATTTCTTTATTGCGGTGTTCAACGTATGTTCATAAGAACAAAACAAAGAGAACGAAAAGTGAGTGAATAGTGAAAAGCAAAAAGCGAAAAATAGGAAGGAGAATGGACGACTGACTGTATATAGCCCTAGTAAAAATCTTAGATACTTATTAAAATTATCTTACTAAGATCTTATCCTTTAAGATTTTGATATGATAACCTAAGATCTTACCGTTTAAGACCTTAATAAGGTTTAATGACTCTGCTTTCGTTCACCGTTTTGTTTTTCTCTCATTCATCTGCATGAGAAACACCGAAAATATTTTACGATTATTTTTCTTCTAGACTCTGCTAGTACTTGCTCTCTCGAAGGTGTTCAACAACTTTTTAGAGAGTGTACATGCAGGTCAAGATCCATAGTTGGACACTCGAAAATGTAAAATTTCTCTTCATTTTTCAATACTGTTCAACTGCTGCATTGGATAATGCGGATTAAAAATTCAAAAATTCTCAGGGAATCTTGAATTAATATTATTTAAAAAATGTCGTCGTTCTTACTATTAAGATCCTAATAGATTCTTGCCCAATCTTGAAAGAGCCTTAGACAGTATAATCTTAGTAAGAGCTTACTAAAATCTTACAAGTTTCGGGTCTCATAATCTCAGTAATTTTTGCCTAAGATCTTAGACAAATGTAAGCAAAAGTTTACTAAGACCTTAATAAGATTATTCTTAGATCTTAGTAAGATTCGGGTAATTTCTCACTAGGGGATAGTCATGTTCTTTATTATAAACTATAGCTGATGATGATTATAGATCATAATCGAAAGTTTCGGTTTTTTGAAATAAAAAATCAGTGATTGTTATGTGCATAAGATTGTTGTTAACATCATCATCAGAAATGTGTACGCTTCGGTTAAAATTTCATAATTTTATTGCGTTTCATAAAAGAAGAGACCGTAGTCTGTCTAACTCGAAGTTCTGGAATATAAGACTTTCTATTGAATCCAAGCTTTTCAAAAGTGGATGATCTTTTATTCGAGCGTAATGTGTTTTGTGATGCAAGTTCAGTTATATACTTTCGGGACAATTTTAACGTGCATACTGGTACCATGTCCTTTATGAATGCACTCACGCATCTTAACAATTCTTTTTCTGTTTGAAACGTCTAGCTAAGACACACAAAATGATACAAATCGATCTCAAAAATTTGTTGCTAATCGTACTAGAACTCCATATTTCGACTGTAGACAAAAGTTGGTTTTTTAGAACGTCAAGTACAATTGTTTGACAAGTAAAAGGAAGGATGAATTAAGCTATCCGCGTTATTTTTTACACTTATATGTTCAGTTTCATTTGAAACTAACACTTTTCAGGATCCTACACCGATTCGTTTAACTGGTATAAACTGCAGGTAAAATCAGAGAATGAGCAAACCAATAGAAATACAATGTAATGGTACAACATTCATTAAAAATAAAATAAATTTCCATAAAAAATAATTTCAACATATTTCTAATTCACCATCAATAATTACTCTCACCTATATAATAATTAATGTACTATTCATCCTTTGGCGGACCTTGTGAGATGATCTCTTTATCTTGAATATGAAATTCCCAATCCTCTACGGGACCTGTCACACCATCGAATGGTTGTTGTAGTGTCATTTCTGTATTGTCTGAAGATTTTTTGACAAGAATTTTATCTATAACTTTTTTTGATTGATTTGTTGCACCCTCTAATTGATAGTCTTTTCCAACACAATACACTTGTCCGCCCTTGTCAATAGTGACGGTTAACGTTTCACTATACTTTTCTAAATTACCACCTGTGTACTGTACCGTACATTGAACTGGTTCTTCAGTTCGATTTTTAATACTGGCAGCATAAACATGTGAAGCAGCAGGACGTCGAGAAGTACCTATCATTATGAATGATATGCAATAATCAGATGATATTCAACAGTCTAGAAAGAACAAAACAATAGAGGCAAACCAGATGATTAAAAAAAAATGAGAGACTGCCTGATTTCTACTGTACAATGATCCTAAAATTGTCTGAATTGCTTCTGTACAGCAATTCCTTTATGACTGTAGAAAAATATAGCTTACAATTGTATAATAATATAACACCAGCGTGAATTTCTTCCAATAATTTATTTTTTATAACAACTGTACAAGTACAATAATATATTTTATATCTTTTTCTTTCATGTAAACAGTGGCGTAGGAATAAAACCAAAACATAGACTATGTTGTTCGTCCGACAGATCTCTCAACACTTCGTTTTGCAGTATTTTTGCCCAAAAAAAGAATGCAGTAATCAAGAAACAAAGTAACAATATCTTGTTCTTCTCTTTTAATGTGGAGAAAACAGAAAAAAGTGAATCTTTTCCTTATTTAGTACAAAAATGGATTTTGTTTAGTATTTCTTATCATACACCACGTTGTTTGCGAGATGTAGTTTTAACCTATATATCATGCTGCATGTTTCTAAAAATCAACGGGTTCTTTTCTGTCTGTTGCTTTCTTGACAACAGAAATATATGCATAAAGAAATAGTTTCTGACATATTATCACGATATAAGTAGTCTATCAATTATAAACAGTTAAAATTTTATCAGTTGTCTGTATTGCAGTATATCAAAAAAAATTGTCATTCTATAAGCTACATATATGCTTTATTTCGAATTGTTGCTGCTAACACCTGCCTACAAGTTTAAATGCCTAGATAACTTACAGTAAATGTTAGTATTACAATGAAACTGCTGTTAACATCTACTACGGAGGTGGATAAAACGTTCTGAAGACAAACGAAAAATTTTTTAGATTGTTTGGTGGACAAAACGAGAAACTCATATGGCAAGACAGAACGAGACAGCTAAGAAAAAACTTTGACGAAATGAGACGAAGTTTATCCTTTCTCGGCACATCGTTTGACTTTAGATATCTCAAAAATTGTTTACAAACTTACGAAGAGTACGTACTTTTTTTTTTCATTTATTATTGTATTTTTGATGCAATAAGAGTTACAGAATGATGACAATTTTCTTCACACGAGACGAAATAGTTTAAACTTTTTTTCCAATAAGAAACGAAGAGAAGTGATAAAAAAGGAACTAGCTGCAGCTTTGAACATAGCTTGATGAAATTAGAAAATGATTTTTTAACACGGTTTGTCTGTAGAATTATGTTTCACTTCTAGCCGTATTAAAAATTCATTTTCTGAATTCCACTAAGTTTCAGAACTTTTAGCAAAGTTTAGCTAATTGAAATGAAACTCAGCGGGAGTCGATAAACTATGTTCCAGTTTCTTTTTTGGATTTCTAGACCTCCAGAAAACCGGGCCTAATGAGAAGACCGTAGCACACTTGAACAGTAATAGATAGAGCTCTCAGACTTACATAGATTTGTCGAGCAAATGTCGTTCTATTTAGGCACATCTTCAGTATAATAAAGTAGAATGAGGTTTTTAAAAACAGAAACGTTGGATTTTGTCTAGTGGAGTACATCACTGTAGACCTCTTTTTTCTATAATGGACAAACATTTGAAGATAAATAATATAGTTTTAACAGCAGCGAAAAATTTCGTTTTATTATTAATAATTTTTGTCGATGTTTCGAGCTATAGAAGCTCATTTACATACAGAGATTCAAAAAAACTGACGGGGATAGGATAACAGAATGAAAGAAACAGTCATCACGCACAAACAGTACATATTATTCTTTCTTTCTGTAAAATTCTGTATTAGTAATAAGCTTTATTTGTTGTCTAGTTTTTCTCCTTTTCAGATAATTTTTATTTTATCTTGTTCATTTATATACATTTTTTTTAATCCTCTGTATGTCTTGAAAATGAGCTTGTATAGCTCGAAACATCGACAAAATTATTAACAATAAAAATAAAAATTTTCATTGCTGTTAAAACTATATTATTTATACTGTAGCTCTCGAATCAGAAATTAAATCTTTCATAGGCGGATAGCTTTGAGTTTTTAATACAGAATGGAAGAAACCTCAAATCTGTATCACTTTTCGTTCCGAATTTATTCAAAAAACGAAAGAGGCTGTTAGATTCAAAATTAGTAGTTGATGTAGTGAAACTATTCTTATTGGGTGTAAGATCCAGTATAACGTGCATGTACACTATCTAAAATAAAAACTGATTGGTATTCGCTACGCTTTTGCGATATTATCCAATGTATAACTATAATTTGTGTGTGTAAATCTGACTATATTTCTTTTTGGTAGATGAAAATATCATTATACAAAGATGCACATACAGAACACAGTGACCGAACACACATGACTTTGAATTGTGTAGTATATTAGCAATTTTTATGAACTGTTAGCTTATTGTCTGATTGTATTTGATGAGGTCTAGCCGTTATAATTAGGCATTCACCGATATTTATCGGTATACTTTCCTCTTTTTCTCAATCAGGTTGACTAAAAAGTACAAACTACCAAAGTTTTTAGACAATCTAATTTTGTAGAGCAAACATTTTTCTACAAAATGATGTATAGCGCAACTCCTCATCTTTTTCTTTCTCCCACAATCAATTCTTGACGAAAAGCCCTAAACCGGTGTTAACAGATACTGTGATCAGTATCGGTGGTAGGACATTTAGCAAACATTTTTTATCTTGGCACTGATTCAAGATGGAAAGTACAGTTATACATCATTTTGTAAGGGAATGTTTGCTCTTCAAAATTAAACCATCAAAAACTTTTAGAAGATCATTTTGCAGTATGAAAAATTTTTTTATGAAAAAAACGCGAAATTGCAATCGATACATGCCTAGTTATAATATACTGCTAATATACTCAAATTTCGCTCGAACTTCAGCGGAAACTCACTTCGCACAAAACATATCGATAGTTTTTTTAAAGTAAATAGTTCGTAATCGATATCTCGTGGTGAAACCATATTCAAATATGATATTACTCAATATTTATGAAATAACACTCAACTATAGGAATGTATTTTACACAAAACATCTGGCTTTTATTAGAAATATCTGTTTACAACTACTGAATAAAAATCGCTTAAAAGGCAGAAAAATAAACTTCAAAGTTCCATTTCTTTCGGAAAGTGGACTTCTCCTTGGAAGTTTTCACAATAAGGATTTAAATTAAAATTTAGTCGGTTCTTAGGTACCCAGGTGTCTCTTTCAGTGCACGGAACAACAATTCTCAAAACATGACTTATTCGAACTTCACTTGGTCCAGATCAGATCACATATTTAAGATATAGATGCACTTTCATGGTCCATAGGTAATGCAAAGTTTCTCGCTTTTGTGACGTATTACGACTCTCCTGTCGATTTTCGCCTGAATCTACAAAGATCTGGGGTGTTCCCGAATTGGAAACAGACCCAGAGGTTAACTAGTCTTTTGCCGATTTATTTATCGAAAGTTTTTTAATTTTCGTTTTGTATAACGAGAAAACGTAAAATAAACAAATAATGTAATTAACGGCATGGCATAATTATTACTAAGTGTATATCAATGTTGAAAACATCGTTTCGTAAATGTACTAGAAAGAAAAAAGAAAAGAAAATTATAAATAAATAAACGTCATCAAAATAAATCGTATCTAGCTATCCGCTGATCTGACTTATCATATGTAGATAATTCGAATCAACTATCTCAACGAGAAGATTGGATAATTATCTATAGACGTAGATGTAATAAACACTATTATATTTTTCGTCGAATTATACATACACTTTGTTTACGTACAAAAGTTTTTTGTGAAAACCATAGGCCTTCTATAGGATTACACTCTGGATGAAACCTTTATTAGGTCCATTTTGAAAGCAACACTTTAGTTGTTGGGTACTTTTTAGCAGCCCATTTATTGATCAAATCTATTTATTTATTTAGGGCTTTCGACTCATCCGCGTCGTTATGAGTCGAAAGCTCTAAATAAATAAATAGATTGATCAATAAACGGGCTGCTGAAAAGCACTCAACCTTTATTAAACAAGTCCTGTTAAATATTTACAATCAATTTAGTTGTTGTTTTCGATCATTTTCATCCATCCACTCCAGACCATCAACGGAATGACGAGTATTAATGTTCGTTCCAAGGTCATTAAGACCGTACTCTCACGCTGAATGTGTTCTCGCATTATCCACCATCACTTCAATATCATGTCCATCGTCAATTTCAGCATTTCAGAGAGTCTCTCAAATTGACTGAGTACCGCTTCATCGTCAAAATAACTTTCATTAAGGTCCCCCTCGGTCTTTCGAAAAGTTTTCTGAAACCTTGGAAAGCTGGTTTTTCGAAAAAGCTTTACTTTCTGATTACAAAGCAAATCGAAAATTACGTCGTTTAGTACATAGGAAAATAGAGCCAACATTTCTGATCAAAATGAGATACTTCCCAGCTCTGAATGATGTTCTAATCAAGAGTTATGAGTTTTGCTGGAAGCCGTAAATCATGCATCAGATACTGGCGTCACCATATTTCAAAAGCGACTTTCACCTTAACACTATTTCGTAGCTGCAAGATTTCTCGGTAACGGAGCATCGCAGAGAGTTCAGAAAGGTGTTAAATTGACGAAAACACATGTGACTAGAGGCTGATAGAGCTTGATTTTGATATTTTTCTTTTCAAATTAATGGTCAGCGCCAAAAGTCTAAAATTCGAAAAAGTCTCATTAAATTTGGTTAAAGATGTTTTTCTAATCATAAATATAGATCGAATATCAAACTCGAGCTATATCAGCCTCTAGTCGCATGTGTTTTCGTCAATTTAAGACCTTTCTGAGCTCTCTGCGATGCTCCGTTACCGAGAAATCCTGCAGCTACGAAATAGTGTTAAGGTGAAAGTCGCTTTTGAAATATGGTCCCTAGTGAATGCACTCAAGTGTGAGCACTCAAAAAGTACTCTGATAGAAAAACCGGACGAGTACTCA